GGAAGGAAGGAAGGAAGGAAGGAAGGAAGGAAGGAAGGAAGGAAGGAAGGAAGGAAGGAAGGAAGGAAGGAAGGAAGGAAGGAAGGAAGGAAGGAACCAATGAAATCTCTGGCTCCAGTTCAGATTAAGCAACTCCCAATGCATTCTGTGATGGGTAGACTCCATCTCAAACATGGGGTCCAGTCGTGGCAATATAATGTAAGATGTACCCACATTTCTTGAAGAATGGTTGAAGCAACTGAGATGTTTAGCCTAAAGATCTGCCACATGTAAGAGGGAGGGGATTTATTCTGTGTTGTTCCAGAGGACAAAACCAGGACCAGTGAATGATTTCCCTTTCTCCCTAACCAAATCCACCCCACTCACACCCAATGAGTTTCCAAGTGCTATTGCATCCTCTTTAGAGATATCTCTCAAATCCATTCTTTTTCCCCACTGCTTCTACCCCAGTGTAGGTCCTCATCACTTCTTCTGAATGATTCAAATAACCTCCCTCAATTTTCTTCATGTTCCAGTTTGTCCTCTATTCAATCCATCTTTCATATCCCTGCCCAAGTCACCTTTCTAAAGAATTACTTTGGTAACATCCCTGCCCTGCTCTAAAGCTTTTGGTAACTCCTTGCCTAAATAAAGTTTAAACTTCTTAACTTCTCATATGAGGTCCTCTGAAGTCTGGCTTGAACCTACCTTGTAAAATTTATCTCATACTATTTCCCTTCATACACTCCACATCCCACCAACTGGATTACTCTCCATTCCATTCTTCCCTCTCCTATTTCCACACTCATGTTCTCCCCTATACCTGGAAGATACTCCCTGTCCTGTGCCCTGTCTTCCTGTTGATATCATTCCCTTTCCTTCAGTGCCTAACTCACAACCCACAACCTCCATGAAGCATTCCCAGTTCCCCCAAGTGATATCTCCCTTTAAAACTTTTTTCATGGTACTTTTTAGAGAATTCACCCATGACCTCACTTTGTCATTTGATTTGTAGCTATTTTTGTACATGGCTTATTTCCTCTACTGGATTTTTAAGCAATTTGAGATAGGGACCTGTGTCTGATTTCATCTTTATATCACGGGGTAAACAGGAGCCAGTTCTATTTCAAAGTGAGCATTTACACCTCGGAAGACAAATCAGGGCTTGATTTGTTATCTTGTTGATTGTCTAGAAAGCAATGGAGAATATGTTAATAATGAAGATTAAACTTTAAAAGGATGTTGTGGGTACATTTTTTCCCTCAGAAAGCTGATTGTTAAATATTTACCAGGATATCCCTGGTTATATCCCTGGTACCTTGAACAGTGACCTGTATCTAGTAATAAATATTGATGAAATTAAAGCTATAATGAGTCAGGTTTTTGTTTACCATAAGAAAGAATTTTCTAACAACTGGAACTATCCAAAACTAGAATAGGCAGCCTTGGTAGATAATGAGTTCCCGATCATTGGAAACGTTCAAACATTGAATGTCTATCTGTCAAGGATGCTATGGAAAGGATCAATAGACCTAATTAAGTTGAAAGTCATCTTAGAGATGGTCTAGCTTAATTCAGCTTAATTTACAAAAGGGAAGAATCTGAGACCAAAAGAGGTAATATCAGTTAAATGGAACCTCCAAACTTAGATCTTTTGACATGCAACCTATTGTTTTCTCTACTACATCATCCTGTCTCTTCATTGGAAGATAAATTAGCCTAGATAAGTTCTAAGGTCTCTCCAGAGCTCAGATTTTATCAGTCTTTCAATGCTTTCATTCATTTATATCATGATTTGAAATGTGGTCAAAATTTTGCTGACAAATTTGCAGATGTTTGTGCCTCCATCATGACATTTCCCAGTAACAAAACCTTTCTGAAAACAATCTCCAAAGTTTTGGGGGGAGTGAATAAGTTGTTACTGGATGACATTATTAAGGTAAGTTACATGAGGTCACATCACATTTTGCTGCTGAATTGGACTCACTTGGAAGATTATGATTAATATATATTATTCAAGAATTCTTAGTGTTGTGACGGTCATTCCTTATTGAAGCATCCCTATGGGTGCACTGTTTCAGTTGCCTAATGCCTCCCTTTACTTCAATTCCTTTTTTTAGTGAATCAACAGCCTCTGTGCCTCCCCAGTCAGATGTATACAGGATGCTTCATGACAATCGAGATGGACCTACTCAGCCTCGCCAATCAGGCTCTTTCAGGGTGCTCCAGGATTTAGTGGATGACCCTGGTGAGCAACTGTTTATATGTCTGTCCATCTGCTATTGGTCACAGTTGGTCACGGAAGAAGATAGTAAGGGAATACACATATATATATATATATATATATATACATATGCAACAAATTTTAAAAATCAGTTTCAATCAACAACTAAGGAAAATCAAAATCTGATTTTTTTTTCTGACAAAGACAGTATTTCTTTATGTTGTCATTTCACTGCTTAAAAAGACTTTAGTGACTCTATTTTTTTTGGCCAGATCTGTGATTTCATTGTAACAGTGAGGAAACTCCCTCTGCTGATACAGTTCTGCAACTATTCTATAATTTACAGTCTTAAGAGAGTTGTCTAGGGTTCTCAGAGTTTAAATGACTTCCTCAAAATCACACAAGCCATTATGTCTCACAGGCAGAACCTGAAGCCACATCTTCCTGACTCCCAGCCAGGCTTTCTATTAACTACACCAGGCTCCCTCTAGTTCAGGGACCCTTTGGCAACTAGGTAAAATCTATGGACCCTTTCTCAGAATAATGTTTTTAAATGTATACAATTAAAAATTTAATTATAATCATCCTATAGGATTACAAAGGAAACCAACTGTATTGAAATGCAGTTGTAATTTTTTTTTTAATCCACAGACCCCAGTTTAAGAAACTCTGGCCAATAGGATAAAGTAGAAATGGCATTTAAAACCCTCTACTACCTGTCCCCTAACTTGTCTTTCCCTGCCTCCCATGATTTCTATACTCCAGTCAGTCTGAACAATATGTTTCTAGATCTTTTCCTGAACTATCCTGCTTCTGAGTATTCTCCCAAGTTCTTTATCTTCATTGGACAAAGACTTCTTTCTTTAAGGTCCATCTTAGGTGCTTCCTCCTCCATGAAGCATCTGCTGATGCTCCCAGGTGAAAATTATTTCCCTGGAGCATTCCATTAAGATCTCTTTTGTCCCTATTGGCCTATATTATATTTAATGGTGTCTTTATACATTTCCTCTAAAAAGCAGTAAACTACTGTTTAATTTTGGGTCCCTGGAGCCCAGCATAGTGTCTTGCATTTTATAAATATTTGTCAAATTACCAAAAAAAATCAGTTTTCTGTTTATATAAAAGACTTGTAGCTATTAGAAAAAATTATGCTTCATAAGGCCTCAAATAATGATTGCTTAGAAGAACCAGAGATGTAAGTCTGATTTTTTTTTTCAGAATAGACTGCTCTAAAATGTTCTATACAGAAACCCAATAGGTACAAAGCATATAATAAAATGCGGGAAGGTCAGTTGTATCTCCAGATCTATTCTCATGGATAATGGTGTCCACAATAAATTAATCAGTGGATAGTTATGGAAAGCCTACTTCAATAAAGGGATGGTAGGAGAATGATAAGTTTGTGTTAAATTACCATATTGTGTTAAATAAAAATAAATATTATGGTAAACCTCTGCTCAGTATCTAGGAAACAGACAAAGTAGGGGGGAACCCATAAGGTGAGAGGTATTGAGGAAGTCCCCTGCCCTGAAATATCTCCCTTGTCTTCCACAATGCTTGAATTTCCAAAATTAGAGATCCACTCCTTTAGAAGACGCCATTTTGAGGTCACACAATGCCTTATCAGTCTGTTAACATCCAAATTGGAGTTTCAGATCCTTTCTAAAAATCAGCTGGCTAAGAACTGGGCCCTCAGGTAGGGATACAAAAGCAGAAAAGGATTGATAAAAGGGATGATTTTTGACTCAACCATATTGTTAATACAGTTTTTAAATGTCCATGGAGAAAGACTAAACCAACTCTCTCCATGACTTACTCCAATCTCCAATAGCCTTTATAGAGTAAATTCCTAACCTTTCCCCCATATCCTCTACTAATACAGATTAAATTAATTCTCTGGGTATGTGTGTTTATATGTCTCTCTGCCTAAATTTAGAGAACAAGCTATTCTGCATAGTTGCCTGCAGTTGTTTAGAAACAAGAGCGTATGTACAAAACAGGAATTCTTTAGGTTAAGGTGCTCATCTCAAAAATAGCAGCTGGCTGTGAACTGGTTCAGTCATTAAGGAGAGCAATTCAGAGCTATACTCAAAGGTCTATACAAACTATACATACTTTTTGATCCCGCAATACTGTTACTTCATCTGTATCTCAAAGATAGCAAAGGAAAAAAAGGGAAAGGATCCACATGTACAAAAATATTTATAGCAGCTCTTTTTATGGGAGCAAAGAATTAGCAAGTGAGGGGATGCCTATCATCAAGTGGTATATGATTATGGAATATTATTGTGCTGTAAGAAATGATGAAAGGGATAGTTTCAAAAAAACCTGGGAAGACTTGTATAAACTGATGTAAAGTGCAGTGATCAGAACTAGAACACTGTACACAGTAACTACAATAATGTAACGATGATCCACTATGAAAGACTTAGCTATTCTAATCAAAACAATGAGCCAAGATAATTCCAAAGGACCCAAGGAGAAAAATGCTATCCTCCTCCAAAGAGAACTGATGAACACTGAGCACAGATGGAAGAGTGTTTTCTTTGACTTTATTTTTCTTGCTTTTCCCCCCACAACATAGCTAATGTGAAAATATGTTTTGCATGACTTCATATGTATAATGGGTATTGTATTTCTCACTTTCTCAATGGGTGGGGAAAGGGCTAGAAAAAGGGAGAGAATTTGGAACTGAAAATAAAATTTTTTTTTAAAAAAATAGCAACTAGTGTTTTCAGCAAAGAATTTGGACAGCTGCTCTTATATCATAAATGGAAATATTTTGGTTTTTCAGATGACCGTCCTGCTGGGACAAGGAGTGTAAGAGCCCCCGTCACAAAAACTCATGCTGGCCTTGGGAGTGGACAAAAGATGCCACTGTGTGACAAATGTGGAAGTGGCATTGTGTAAGTCTCCTTTTTTGACCTGGATGTTTTCTATAAATCTTCATCAAGAAAGGACTTACATGAGTTTCAAGGAATTCTTAATTTTTTCTGCCTCATATAACAATAGTGATAGCTAATATCTATATAATACTTGAAGGTTTGCAAAGTACTTCACAAATATTATCTTCATTTATCCTCATGACAACTCTGGGAGGTAGGTGCTATTATTTCCTCAATTTTAGAGTTAAAGAAACTGAGGCAGAAGTTAGGTGATTTCCCCAGGGTCACAAAGCTAGCAAGTAGCAGAGGCTGGATTTGAACTCAGGTCTCCCTGTCTCCAGGTCAGGCATTCTATGCATTCTATTCACTACACCACCTAGCCGCCTTCTAAATTGATAATGTACTTATCCAAGTATCTTCACTATAGCCTTCCTCTGATGGGTCATCCTGTCGTGGAGGTGACCCGTATCTCTTGAAGCCTATACACTAGCAGAACAGAAGCTATGACAGGATTGACTTCAAGTTCAGAATGAAAAAATGTACTCATCTGAAGAGCAGCCTGGTCAGGTTCTGCAAAATTGATCACCTAGCAGAGGTTCCCAAAGCAGGCAATATGATTCCCTGGGGGTGCTGGAACAATGGGGTGTGGTAGTAGCCTCAGGTGCAATTGGGGGGCATTGAATAAAAATAAGGGGGTGGTGGAAGCACAAAGAAAGAAGAGAAGAAAATTCTGAAAAACTGTTCATACGTGTTTCATCTGTTGTGTAACAGAGTTAAAGTCATAGTGATCACATTATTTTCCAAATAAACACACAAAATGCAAGTTATAACCAATGAGTGGTCAAGTCTGCTGACAGGTCTTAACGAGCAAGTGTTGACAGGAGAGCATCTTTGTGTATTGTCGGGAAGTCCAGCATGCATCAGTAGGAATATGTGCCTGTAATGACTTGTTTACAATTCGATACTATATGGTTACATGACATAATATTATATCATTAAAATTTCAATGCAGGAAAAAACCATAAATTTACTATAAATTATTAAATCTAAAATGCATCATTTTTAAAAAATATATTTTATTTTTAAATGTTGCAAATTTTAAAAAAACTGTTAAAGGAGTAAAGAAAGTAGATTTCCATGAGGGTGCTGACTAATTTTTTTTTTAAGAGGGCAGTAGGCCAAATAAGTTTGGGAACCTCTGACTTAAAGACTGGCCACCAAGTATTTGGAGTTTTTTTGTTTGTTTGGGTTTTGGGGGGTTTTCTGTTAGTTTATTTGTTTGTTTTGGGCTATGGCAACCCATAAGAGATTTGGAGAGTTGCTCTCTGCATCAGTGGAAGGCATGCAGTTATCAGTGAAATTACAGCTCAGGGGGAGCTAGGTGGTGCAGTAGATAGAGCACCAGCCCTGGAGTCAGGGATCAAATTCAGCCTCAGACACTGGACACTTACTAACCGTGTGACCCTGGGCAAGTCACTTAACCCCAATTTCCCCACAAAAGATAGAAAGAAAGAAAGAAAGAAAGAAAGAAAGAAAGAAAGAAAGAAAGAAAGAAAGAAAGAAAGAAAGAAAGAAAGAAAGAAAGAAAGAAAGAAGTTACAGCTCATTCAAAGTATCCAAGTATATGCAAGTATGAAAGGAAACAAGTAACATTTTTTTAGGTTTGTATGGATGGGTTGGGTTGAATTTATTTTGGGTTTTTTCCTTTGTTTTACTTTGGTCTAGACTTCTAATTTCATTGGTATAGAGAGCTCTTTGTGAGAAAATTCCCTCTACCAAAGCAGATCAGCAACTGTACTACAATGTCTAATCTTAGAGAATTACCTGAAACCCTGAGGGACTAAGTGACTTGCCCAGGGTCACACAGGAAGTAGGTCTCAAATATGGAACTTTAACCTTGATTTTCCTAACTCCAAGATGAGCTCTATCCACCGTTGCTGTTCTCCTTCTAAATTCACAATATGTTGCTCGGAATCTAAAATCATTGCACAAATAACAAGTACAAACTTCTATGTGTGAAATGTGTTCCTGAAAAACTGTGTAAAACGAATATTTGTCTCTCAATCATTTTGACTTCTACTATAATTTCAGAGATGCAGTCAATTTAAAAAGTTGGATCCAAAATATTTTTAGCCTCATGTTTCATAATCATATAATTTGCTTCAAGGAGTACTTTGCCTTTGTTAACATAGACTAGAATCCTTTTTAATTTTCCTGCATAAACTCCATAAGAAAATTTAGGCAACTACTCTCCATCAGCTCTCGCACAGGCGTGCAAGGAAGACATATTAAAATGTAACAGTTGATTTAGGTTTCATCAGGCATGTTCATTCTCCCCCATGGGTTTTTAGTGTCAAAGTAGCCAAACTGGCAATGATATTGATCTAGATAACATATCAAACAGAATCCATTAGCTTCTCTCTCAGACATTGTATCTTTTACTTCACCCATCTGTCACTGGGTGACTGTGAGTGATAGTGGGGAATGAAGGCAACCAGAAATTGGGGGGGGGGGGCAAGGAGAGGGGAGATACATGGGTGACAAAAGCAGTGATTACTCCCAAGACAGTAACAAGAGCATGTCTATTCTGAAAACCTGAGTGAATTGTTTGCACAGTAGAGAAAAGGTCACTCATGGCTAATACTTTTTGTTGTATTAGTACAGTCTGTACGTCTCATGTGGAAGAGCAGGAGGAAAATAGTACCCTCCCTCCACCCTATATAGTATAATTGGAAAGATTTCTGTTTTCCAGACACACCCTCAGCCAGAATTAGAATCTCATCCAAAGGTGTTATAGTGTTTTTCTTGTCCAATGTCTCACTTTCAAAAGAACTGGGGGTTGGGAAATCCTACAATGCATCCTTTCAATCTCTCCAGAAATGCTTTCTTTAGCAATCTGAGATGCAGCTATTTAAAAAAATAAAATTTAATAAAAGGACAAATTAGTTGATCCCTGTTCAGTGCAATTAACTCCAAAAACCACATCAAACAGAAACCGTAAGCCTGGGCGGGGATTGATCATTTGCTACAGTTATCTTGGGTCTTTTCTGACAACTGTTTCCAAGTTTCACAGCTGTGTGTGATTTTCTTTACAGCTGGAGGCCAGTTGTTTCTCTTTTTATAACAAAAAGAGAACCCACCCTAATTGTAGGGCTCTCACCACCCCGTAATATTTATTTTTTTTCTTTTTCTTTGTTTTTATTAACAGTGGGGCTGTCGTGAAGGCACGTGATAAGTATAGGCATCCAGAGTGCTTCGTGTGTGCCGACTGTAACCTTAACCTCAAACAGAAAGGTTACTTCTTTGTGGAAGGACAACTGTACTGTGAAACCCACGCAAGAGCCCGCACAATCCCACCAGAAGGATATGATGCAATTACTATTTATCCAAAAGCTTAACTGTCTCATGTCGATGCTTAGGGAGCACACGCAGACACCCACACGCATGCACACAAGAAGACATTAATAGCTTTGGGCAGTCATATTAGCGAAATGTCTACTCTAAATCAGAAATAATGGATTTTGAAAGTTGATTTTATTACCAGTTGAGGAATTGGTTAAGAAAGCAAGTGTTAGCTGGGCGGGGAGTGCGAGGGTGGGAAGGGGAGGATTTCATGTATTTAGTTACATTTTGCAAGTATGTTATCTTTGAGGCTAACAAAGTAACTTGAGGACAGTTAAAGCAATAATATTTTGTATGTTTTACTATCCTATTCAAAATTGCTTTTAGAATGGTAGTACATGTAAAAATATAACCAAGATAATACTTCTGTTCAAATTGTGTTTCCTTAACAAGATTATTGCAAATCTATTACATATAAAATAATGATCTTGACTTATAATGCTATCTGAATTTTTCTTTGTCTCAATTATTATGATACATCTAGAGGAAAAATACTTTAGACTTTTTTAGGTTTTTGAAATTTGAAAATTCTGTCATTTGGTGAGATATGCATAATAAACACATGTAAATGTGTTTAAAATAACTAAAAAAGTAAGGCATTCTCATTTAATTCTGGTATAACCAATGCTTCCCCAAAAAGAACTGTCATACATGACGATAGGTAATACCATGCAAGTGGGTGGGACTGGAAGGAAATGCCAACTCCTTTTTTTTTTTTAGTAGTAACTCCCAAAATTGATTCCTTTGCCAAAAACCTATGTATATACACATTAATAAATAAACATTCATGAACAAAATAGCATTTATAAAAACTACAATGAACATTTAAATGCATAGGAACACAGTCTATAATTTATGTATTTAATGAGTTTATAATTAATTTGTTATACTATGCAATCAAATCATCTTTAGAATTCCTTCAGTCAGCAGTATCACAACTAAGCTTCCTGTATATAGAATTATCACTTTTAGTAAAGAAATTAAACTGTCATATAAAATATTAGAATTTCAAAACAATTATGTCTGAAAGACAATGCCAGTGCATTGCAACTGTAAGTTTGTGATATACATGAAAGGACATGTGTATCCACATGGGTTGTCTAAATGCAGTTCCTCAGAATCATTGATAGGTGTGATCTGAAGTCTGGACTTTCCCCTGAGTAGAGGAGAAAAGCCAGACAAGTGAGAGGGGCCAGTAAGCCCCATCTCACCCCCAGAGTACTACAAAGCCAGGAGTTCTTTTTTCCATTCTTTGCAGGGGTAATGTACTAGAATTACATCTATCTGCTCCCTGAATATTACTGGTCTGGATACGATAGGTTCAAAACAATAAAGCTATTTCCTTGATTGCTCTTAAGGGGAGAGAGTTATCCCAAGCTCATACATACAAGCTTTTCCCCCACCAAATACTGGTTACACAAAAGATTATCACAAATTATAAATACTGAATAAAATCCTTTATCTAAGTAAACAGGAAAAAGAAGTTAGAGACATTATACAGATTAAGATATACTAGAAAATACACCAAGTGAATGAGCTCTTTAGATAGCAGTGAAATGAGATTTTAGCTCAACCAAGAGAGAAGCCCTGTTTTCACCCAAAAGGAAATTTCCCAAAATCTCTAGAGAGGCAAACTGGTGAAACATCTCTGAGAAGCCAGTTTCCCCTACATGTCTGCAATTTCCCAAGTCTATCTGTTTGTCTCCGTCTTTGTCTCTCTCTGTCTCTCTGTCTCTCTCTCCCCCTGCCCCCATGTCTAGGGTCACTCCCCAAGAAAATCTGGACAACCTGTGACTCTCCAACAAAAGAAAATCTGCTTTTCAAAGCTTTTGCACTAACTCTGCCCCTCATGTAAGTGTCAAATCCAAAGTGTCAATTCCTACTCAGCATTCTGTCTGCCAGTCTGGAGTCATACATATACGGCATATTCAGCATAATGCCCAAAGCTTAGTTGGAAACCTGGGTCACACAATAATTGCCAAAAGAGCTAAAGAAATAGTTCAAAATCATGGGATACTGAAAGGCTGGGGGGGGGGGGTTCATTTGTTTGTTTTTGGTTCATCTTCCTTGCTTCTACAATATCAGCCTAGATAGGCATTTGTCTATACAATTTTTAAAGCTTTTCCCAAAACTAAGCTATAAAGTACAGTGGAAAGAGTACTGAGTGGCTCTGGATTAAGAAGACTTGAGTTAAAATCCCACCTCTGATTCTTATTACTCAAATGACCCCAAATAAATTCTGCAACATTCCTGCATCTGTTTCCTCATCTGTAAAATGAGCAGGATAGGCTTCTGAGGTCCCTCCAAGCTGTAGACGTATGAATCTAAGTCACCTTTCCTGGTAAAACATCAGAATATCTAAAGTTTACCAAGGCTGTATTACATGAAATAGGTTTTCTCTTCTAACAGTAATTATACATGTTTTCTAAAACAAGCTAGAAGTGTTTCCCTGATGGAATATATGTATACGTTTCCCTTGAAATAAAATAGATTCTCTTACAATTTCTCTCCAACAATAAATAAAAAGCCCATAGAAAAATTTAAGAAACTTTAAGAAAGAAATTTTATTAATACATTTCTATTTATAATATAATAATAATAATAATTCTATTCTAATATAATAATTCTATTTAAAGAAATAGAATGAAGTTGGGTTTTTTTTAAATCTCCCCAAATAAGCTATAAAATGGTAGAAACGAGAAATCAGAATCTGAAAGGAGAGTGATAACTCATTTAACAAACTCTCTGGGAATAAAGCATTCTTTTCTCTTGGCAACCTCAGCTCCTCCCATGGCTTCAAGTACCAATCCTATTATGAAAGTGACTCCAAATGTAGAAATCAATAGCCTTGTGACTCCAGCCTTGTCCTTTCTCCCTCTAAACCCTATGATCTTTTCCTGATCTCTCCATTAAGCTATATTCCCACATTTCCAAATGCCTGCAGAATGCATTTGCCTTGTATCTCAAACTCCATACGTCCAAAACTGAACACATGAACCTTTCCTCAAAACTCTCCCCGTTCTTCCTTAAACTGTGCCATCTTTGTTGATGGCTCCACCATCTTCTAAGTCACCTAGGTAGAAACCCAATCATCTTGGATGCTTCCACCTCTTTCATCATCTTGCCATGGGATCTTCTACCATGTGTATATAATCCCTTTTCTACCTCTTGTTTGCTAATAGAACCCTAATCAAATCAGTACTGCCATTTCTAGTGGGAGGGATGTGCCAATAAGCTTCCTTATGAGTCACCATCCCTGTGACTTTTCAGACCAAAATGCCCCTCCTTGGCTACTACTCTCTTTCACATATGTTTCCCCCTTTTCAAACCCACGCTCCTTGAGGGCAGGGACTGTCTGACTTTTGTTTTTGTACCTCTAATACCTAGCACAGCTACTGGCACAAAAAAAGTGTTTAATAAATTTTTTTCATTCACTTATCTCACACACACACACAATTTTTTGCTAAATCCTGACGATTCCACTGACAAAAATCTCTCGTCTGCCCCTTTCCCTTTCCTTATACTGCTACCACCCCAGCTTAAGCCCTCATTGTCTTTAGCTGGATCTGCATCAGCCTTCTAGTCAGTCTCCCTGACTCCAGTCTCTCCTCTTTCCCATTTATCCTTCACACTGATGCCAAAGTAATCTTTCTAATGCTCAAATATGATATTACTCTTCTACTCAAAAAAGTGGCTCCCCAACACCTATGTAATAAAATACTACTATATTCTATTATTATATAATATAATAAAAAGTTTAATTACTCACCTTGACATTTAAGGTCCTTTACAATCTGGTTTTGACTTAAATTTCCAACCCTGATTTTTATTATTGTTTTTCATGGACTCTAAACCATTCACACTGAAGTACTTCTCTGATCTCATACTGCCTTTTCCCACCTCCATGCCTTTGCAAAGGAACCCTCTCTTCCCCATGCCTAGAACAGACATACATCTCTGACTACAACATCTTTCCTCCAAAGCCCAGCTTAGGTTGCACCTCCTTCATGAAGCCTCCTTTGCTGTGTCCAGCTAGAAGTGATCACTCCTTCCCTGAGACTCTCAGGGTACTCTAACATCTAGTAATATCCACCATTCTTCTGAATGGTACCTATGGCAGGAAGACTAGACGGTCCCTACTATATAGGCTAGCTTTCTCCCTCTCCCCAAAAAAGAGCAGTGAAATCATCTTTAAAACTTAAATGACCTAGAGCAGAGATGTCAGACTCAAATAGAAACTATGACCACTACGCTATATATAAGGATCTCTAAAGCCAGCATATTGACTTAGGAACCCATATATTAACATTACCTATATTCTACTGTATTTTAATTTATGCTATTGAATATTTCCCATTTTAATATGGTTTCTGCACTTGGAAATGTTGCCACCTCAACGTGGCTCCTCAGACAAAGGACTTCTCATTTCCATGCAAGTCAATACACTCTTCCAATTAGAAACACCATTTTGGTGAACAAAGAGGCAAGTGAATCTACCTCCAACTGAACATAGACTAGATCTTTGCTGAAAATCTTTTCCATTCTACTGTTGACTAACCTTGTTTTGCTAAATAATAAATGATCTATGAGAGTTTTGTTTCATTCTTACCCCAAGCCTGAGTCCTTGAGCTGTTGGATAGACCTGAGTCAGGCCCAGAACAGTAATCATACATTTTTAATGTGTATTATAGTCACTTGTATATTTAACCTGTGGCCCAGGGAAGCTCACTGTTTATATGGATTGGGTTCTCCAAAATCTTTAGCCAAGTCAGGGCCTCACTTTAGCTTAAAGAGTGTAAAACAGTATTATTGCCTTCTCAAAGGAAAGATGGAAGGGAAGGAGAAAGGAAGGAAGCAAGCATTTATTAAGTGCCTTCTACATGCCAGACTTGTGACAAGTATAAACACATCAAGCAAGGCAGAATTGTTAGAGAGAACTGATAGAAATGTAGTTTGATATCACTGAGCAACTGGAAAGAAAGGGAGAACAAAGACAAAAGGAAGAGAACTCAGAAGACTCATGTCTTGAAGGTTTATTTCCAGTCAATTCAGGGCAACTAATACAAGTCATGTTCCTTCTTATACATTCCTTAGCTACTTTCTCCTTAAGTTTAGAGGAATTATCTTAACTTCTACATTCTAAGTTCTTCCTGTTGTTATTCAGCTATTTTAGTCATGTCCAATTCTTCCTGACCTCATTTGGGGTTTTCTTGGCAAAGAGACTTGAGTGGTTTGTCATTTCCTTCTCCAATGTGTCCCCATTTTACAGATGAGAAACTGAGGTAAATATGGGTTAAATGACTTGCCCAGGGTCACACAACTAGTAAATGTCTGAACCAGATTTGAACTCAGATCTTCCTGATTCCAGGCCCTGTACTCTAT